ATCTCCAACCCTGTAAAAAAACGCTCTAGCAGCTGAACAATAAATTGTTGTTTTAATGAATGCTGTTGCTAAACTAAAAAAACAACCACAATGAACCATATCAAACATCACAAATGCCGTGGCTCAGTGGCTAATCATTTGTCTTTCATTCAGTTCTTGGTCCAAATCCCACAGTTGCTAATATTTTTATCACAGAAAACAAAGCCCTCAATAAACTCAAAAGAGTTCAATAAATAAATGGTTGCGTTTGAATCTTAGATTGCCTATGTTAAAATGCATATCCAACAAACTGCACCAAACAACAGATGATATTGTGAAAGCCACGATGGTTCAGTGGTTAAACACAACACATTTTCCAACTCTTCCTAATCAATCACACCTGAATCGACTCATCAGCTCGTTAGTAGAGACTCCAAAACCAGACATATATGGGTCAGATAAGAAAGATGTCGAGGGGTGTGCAATGTTGGTGTGGCTCTTGGAACAGGTTTGTAAAATACTTGTATAGCTCGTAGAAGGAGTCTGTATGTTAACTTGTTGTTTTGGATTAACATCAAAGTGACATTTAATTCTATTTTGTAGCTTGATTGATATCTTACAGATGCTGTTGCATTGGTTTAATTGCTCATAAAATGAGCATGCGTTTTCACCTCCTATGATCTATATTTATTCTATAAACAATCACTTTGTTTCTTTCTGAGATTTGTAGCTTCCTAGGGGAAGTTATTAGTGAAATTTGAAGTGTTTCTGATTGTCTCACTGCTGTCTGTTTGTAGGGATCTCTTGGTTTGAGCTGCTGGAGGTCATGAGGAAAAGCAGTGAGTGACTTTACATGGAGTATTTTGAGAGGAGCAACCGCCGAACTGTTATGCATCTGAGCCTTTTCCTGACTCAACCTGTTTCTGTTTTGAACTGGCATGTTTTTGACAATGATCTACTCCAGTTTGTGTCCAATAAAATGGTAAATGTGACATTTGTGTGCTGTTCATGATTTCCAGCTGATCTTGGCTTTCTAAACATCAACACCTGCTGTTACTGACTCTGTTGATCAGTCAATTAACTAATTATTCAGATGATGTGTGGCCCACGTGGTTTAGTTTGTCTATTAATTTGGACAAGCTGTGACTGATTTGCAATTTAATGATTGCCAAGATAAAACAGACCAGTTAAGATTTCCTCATTACAACTCCAGTTTATTAATGTATTTGTAGTCTGAATTTTTCAGCATGTGTGTAAGTGGGAACGCCTTTCAAGTGCTGGTTGGTTTCCCCAGAGAAAGCAACAGCTGAGATTTGAACCTTGATGGAGTGCAGGTACAATCAACAGTAAAGGGGAGTGGCCATAAGCCACGCCCAGATGGGGGAGTGTCTATAAGCCATGCCCAAAAGGGAGGAGTGTCCATAAGCCACGCCCACAAAGGGAGGAGTGTCCATAAGCCACGCCCAAAATGTTGACTTAGGCTTTTTTGTGAAAAATTTTACAAGTAATTTTTTGAAAATTTGGACTTCTTTTACATAACCGCTGCTCGAGATTGTCTTGGAAGTCCCAGGGGGAGCGGTTTGGATATGTACTCCCCCCTTTGTGTCCTGCCTTCTCTCATCCTGGTCATGACCTGATCCGCTCAGTTTTGCAGCTTGTCACAGCTCACGACTGGATGTCCTTCACGCAACCATGCTTCACATACCAGGCTGGGGTTTGAACCCAGATCCTTCTGACCCCAGGAGGACATGCTCAGACCACTGAGCCACTGGTACTTCCACTCTTACTTATGAATTTTTGGTTATTTTGTCTTTTTTATTTGTTGAAAAACCATTGAAGCTAAACACCACAAGAGAGAGACTCGAACCTGGGTTGCCCACACCAAGATCAAACACTCAGACCACTGAGCCACCAGCACTTCCACTCTTACTCACCAATTTTTGGTAATTTTGTCTTTTTTATTTGTTGATAAACCAATGAAACTAAACACCACAAGAGAGAGACTCGAACCTGGGTTGCCCACAACAAGCTCTACCGTTCAGACCACTAAGCCACCAGCACTTCCACTCTTACTCGTCAATTTTTGGTAATTTTGTCTTTTTTATTTGTTGAAAAACCAATGAAACTAAACACCACAAGAGAGAGACTCGAACCTGGGTTGCCCACATCAAGATCTACCGCTCAGACCACTAAGCCACCAGCACTTCCACTCTTACTCATCAATTTTTGGTACTTTTGTCTTTTTTATTTGTTGAAAAACCAATGAAACTAAACACCGCAAGAGAGATTTGAACCTGGATTGCCCACGCCAAGATCTAACGGTCAGACCACTAAGCCACTGGCTCTTCCACTCTTATCTGTCAATTTTTGGTAAATAAAAATGTCCTCATGTGGTGATTTGTGTGAATTACACCTTTGCAAATAGAGTCTAAATAAACTTAAAAATATTTTGCCCACCTATGGTGATTTGTCTGAATTACACCGTTGCAAATCGAGTCTAAATAAACACAAAAGTGTTTCATCTTCTTGTGGTGACATTACCGCAAATCGGCTTAACCCACCTGCCGAGATCTTCGTGAATTACATCGTCTAACGAGCTAGTGTAAATGCGCTACACTTCTGTAAGAGGGTGAGAGGAGAAAAACATAAGAACTTCCAAACAGAACTATTTACACTATCTATGTTCCGTCCTGTCTTCTGTTCAAAATTCAGATAGATATATTTGCAAATAAAAACAACAAAACAATATAAGTCCAATGAATGTAAAAGTGTTTCGCCCTCCTGTGGTGATTTGTGTGAATTACACCGTTGCAAATCGAGTCTAAAAAACATGAGTGCTGCGCCCTCCTGTGGTGATGTGTGTGAATTACACCGTTGCAAATCAAGTGTAATAAACTTAAAAGAGTGTCACCCACCTGTGGTGATTTGTGTGAATTACACCATTGCAAATCAAGTGTAATAAACATAAAAGAGTGTCACCCTCCTGTGGTGATTTGTGTGAATTACACCATTGCAAATCAAGTGTAATAAACATAAAAGAGTGTCACCCTCCTGTGGTGATTTGTGTGAATTACACCATTGCAAATCAAGTGTAATAAACTTAAAAGAGTGTCACCCTCCAGTGGTGATTTGTGTGAATTACACCATTGCAAATCAAGTGTAATAAACTTAAAAGAGTGTCACCCTCCTGTGGTGATTTGTGTGAATTACACCATTGCAAATCAAGTGTAATAAACATAAAAGAGTGTTTCCCTCCAGTGGTGATTTGTGTGAATTACACCATTGCAAATCAAGTGTATAAAACATAAAAGAGTGTATCCCTCCTTTGGTGATTTGTGTGAATTAGACCATTGCACCTCAATTCTAATAAATATAAAAGAGTTGCCCCCTCATGTGGTGATTGTAGGCCTTGCGAATTCAGTCTTATTCCCGAGAATCAGCTTAACCCATCAGCGGAGATCTATGTAAACTACATCGTCTAACGAGCTAGTGTAAATGCGCTACACTTCTGTAAGAGGGTGAGAGGAGAAAAACATAAGAACTTCCAAACAGAACTATTTACACTATCTATGTTCCGTCCTGTCTTCTGTTCAAAATTCAAATAGATATATTTGCAAATAAAAACAACAAAACAATATAAGTCCAATGAATGTAAAAGTGTTTCGCCCTCCTGTGGTGATTTGTGTGAATTACACCGTTGCAAATCGAGTCTAAATAAACTTAAAAATGTTTCGCCCTCCTGTGGTGATTTGTGTGTATTACACCGTTGCAAATCGAGTCTAAATGAACATAAAAGTGTTTCGCCCTCTTGTGGTCATTTGTGTGAATTACACAGTTGCAAATCGAGTCTAAATAAACTTAGAAATGTTTCGCCCTCCTGTGGTGATTTGTGTGAATTACACCGTTGCAAATCAAGTGTAATAAACATAAAAGAGTGTCGCCCTCCTGTGGTGATTTGTGTGAATTACACCGTTGCAAATCAAGTCTAAAAACATAAGTGTTGCGCCCTGGTTTGTGTGAATTACACCATTGCAAATCAATTGTAATAAAAATAAAAGAGTGTCACCCTCCTGTGTTGATTTGTGTGAATTACACCATTGGAGACTGTACTGGTTTCCTTCTCCTTCAAGCACCTGCTGCTCACACACACTCCCATCACAGAGACCTCTGAACCCGTGAGGCAGCGCTCTTACCTGTGAGCCACAGATATCTTTCAAGACATGTGCTGGAACTTATATTTCAGTGTTATCCTGAGAGTTTCCAATAAAGCAGTTAAAGTGAGAGTTGAACCCATGTTTTCATCACAGTCTTGTCCTCAGAGAGTGTTTATCCACTCAACCATGGATTTTACAACAACAACTGGTTTTGGGGACTCCTTGTCTAATGAGAACAAGTGAAAGTCAGCAATAGTGTGATTTGAACTCAGAACACTGTGATTGAAATGGTGTTTTCCCCCAAAAGGGGGCGTTACCCTTCGATGAAGCAAAAGTGGCGTTGGTCTATCACATCTGAGACTTTGGATTAAAGTTCCTGTAAAATTGCAGCAGCAACATGTTTGACAAGCTCTGTGGTGCAGAAAATAATGATTTGCTTTTGAATGAGAAAGCCTAGTTTTTTTGTATGTATGTATGTGTGTGTGTGTAACGTTATGTATGTATTTTAACAGAAGGACAGAACAGAGAGGACAGAAGAAATTTGCAGCGGTGTAATTCACACAAATCACCACAGGAGGGCGAAACACTTATGTTTATTTGACTCGATCGGACTCGGTTTGCAACGGTGTGATTCACACAAATCATCACTTTTCTTTTACTCTCTATATGTAATTCACACAAATCACCACAGGAGGGCACAGTTTTTTAGACTTTATTTGCAACGGTGTGATTCATACAAATCACCACAGGAGGGCTAAAATAATTTTAGATCTGACTTTTTTTGCATTTATATAGAAAGACGATAGGACAACACAATTCACAACACACACACACACACACACTGATACAGTTGATACAAAGAATAACTTAAAAATAAAAACATTTTTTTATAAGAATAGATCTGAGTAGTCAATGAATTATTAATCAATGACGATAATCTTTTACATACGCTAAGAACTTTAAACTTTAAATCTAAAACAACATAATTGACTCACAGGCTCAGCGTATAGTTGTCAACCTTACCAACCAGAAAGTCCTGTTTCAGATCCATGTTTGTTAAAGTTATTCATCATTTAACACAAAACTCTGGATCAAACCGGTTGAAAATGCTCTTCATCTCAGCAGTCTCAGTGGCTCAGGAGAGAAAGAGTTGTGTTTCGATCACAGCGTCCTGAGTTCAAGTCCCACTATTGCTGACTTTCAATAGTTCTCATTAGACAAGGAGCCCCAAAAAACAGCCATAAACGTGAAATCCATGATAGGTGAGCGGATTAACACACACTCTCTGAGGACAAGACTGATGAAGACGTGGGTTTGAATCTCACTTTAACTGCTTTATTGGAAACTCTCAGGATAACAGTGAAATATAAGTTCCAGCACATGTATCAGCAAGAGATCTGTGGCTCACAGGTAAGAGCGCTGCCTCACGGGTTCAGAGGTTGCTGGTTTGATCCCAGCCAGATCTCCGCGATAGGAGTGGATGTTGTGTGAGTGGCGCGCCCAAAGGAGGGGGATACCAGTACGGTCTCCCCCCGAAGCTTCCGGGACAGTCAGCAGCAGGGGTTATGCTTTTTGGAAACAAGGACAAAAAAATATATTTTTTTTTATATAAAAATTTCGCCTCCTCGTCCCTTCCCCACCCGCTTAGGTTCCCATCATTTGCTTTTCAAAGGGGGAGGCCCTTCAAAAAGAAAATGATGGGAACCTACATGTTTAGCACAGTAAAACATAAGCATGTACATACCTGTCCATCAGCAGAAGTCCATCATTACAGTCAATGTCTGTCCACACGTCCCACAGCTCTGCTTCTGATGACTGGATGTAATGGTCCAAACACATTCCTTCTGTAAGGAAAGACATGAAAAAAAAGATTTTTTCTTTTTTTAAAGATTAAAAAGATAGTTTTAGAAATACTCTATATTATATATTCTACATCTATAAATGAGAATGTGAAAGTTAGTCTAAAGACTAATCAATAGAAGGAAATGGAATAAATTAAAAGTCTAAAGTTGTACAGTGTGAAAATATATAACTATTATATTAATATAGTATAGTTCAGTAAGGCTGTATCAATAATAATCTTTTAATTCAATTCAAATTAAAGTGTACTTTCCTTCAAATAAACACGAATAATTGAAAACAAAAATTGTATTGCTTAATGTTATTTTTTAGTATTTTTTTCTTTATTAATATTCTTCATAATAATTTTTATATTATATTTTGAGAAAGCAGATTGTGTTTGTATACGTTTGCTGAGGAGAGATTTGGGATGAGCTATATTTAGTTTGCATAGAAGTATTGTGTGCAATGACACATCAATGTAACACAAAAATAAACAAGAAATCTCTTGACAAAATAACTGGTGTAGCTTCCGTGATTCAACCATAATTGGGACTAGTTTAAGTTTTAAATTTACAATAATCCTAAAAGGTTGGTTTCCAGCACACGGTTTTAACCCTGTTCTGTTCTGTTCTGGACTGTATGTATGATGGTTTTCATTAGAAGTAAAATCACTAAAGCTCTACACAAGCATGAAGCAGCAGAAACATCAGAGCAACTGACTCTATTAACAAACATCAATCCAGTATATTACCTACAGTAAGACTACAATAACAACACACATAAAAACAGCATTCCTTATCATTCTGATTATAAATGTAAAGCAACACCCGATTAATTTTCCCTTCTAAAGGTCTGAGAGAGTGTGTTCAGAAAAAAATACGAGTTTTTTCTCTTTTTATAGAAGACGCGAATGCTTTCATAACAAGCTTAAACAACATTTAGTTTACAGACACCATGAACATTACAATGACGAGCCCTGCTATGATGACATTTCAGCAGAACGATGCGTCAGTGAAAAATATACAAAACATTAAGCGTCGCGATATCATTTTACAAAAGAAATTCACTTTATGTGCAAAGCTACTTACCGAGGAGTTAAATGACACTCGATTCCCACATTTTATCGGACTGTATGTCGGTTTATTTGCTGAAATATATCCAGTTGTGTGCCTGTCATCTGCACATGTTGTAGCGTCTGTCATCAACAAGCGTCAGTGTTGCCAAGGACCCAAAGGAGTCGCTCTGACAGTGAAGCCCGCTCACGCCGCCTAGTGGAGCGGATGAAAACTGCGCTTCGGTTTCTGTCATTCTGCTAATTAAATAAACATAAAAGTGTTTCGCCCTCCTGTGGTGATTTGTGTGAATTACACCATTGCAAATCGAGTCTAATAAACATCAATGTGTTGCGCCTTCCTGTGGTGATTTGTGTGAATTACACCATTGCAAATCGAGTCTAATAAACACAAACGTGTTGCGCCCTCCTGTGGTGATTTGTGTGAATTACACCGTTGCAAATCAAGATCTGTGGCTTTGTGTTAAATTTAGCACAAAATTTTGAGACAAAAACAAAAAAACACCTCACTTGGTTTCACTCACCTCACTTACACACCTCGCTGTAAATTTAGGGGACCAATGGAGATTTAACCAATAACATTCACATCCACTGCCCTGTTACTTAATATCTATGGTCCGATTCATTTTATTAATAAGAACAGATCATCTGAATGGGTAAACAGCAATGATTGACATCCAAGTAGTGACATTTTGTTTATTCAATAAATAAACACACAGGCACTCATTAACAGGTAAGGTAAATATTTAAACCATTTGATGATAAATTATGGCCATGTAGTTTAGTGGAAATTTGGAATGACACAAACATTCATGTACAACCTCTCTAACATCAACAGTGCAGCTATACATAGCTTCATCAAGTATTACTGTTAAGCAAGAAAGTAGGCTACAAAAACTAGTCAATCTAGATATACATGGACAAAACCCCCCCCCCCAAAAAACAACACTTAAAATAATGAACGCATTACATCATTTTAAATACACCTTTTAAATACACCATAAAAAACAAGAGTTGCTTAATCAGATTATTTCATGTTCTTAACTGCACCGAGACACAGATGAGGCTCAGGAACTTGCATGATAGATAAATACTGAAAAGGTGTTTTGATGCACGCAAGTCTATTCGAAGAAGTTTGGACGATCCTGCATGCGGCATTTGTCCCTATATAAAGGAACATATCCACTAAAGTCAGTGTTTTGTGTGCTGGAATTCCCATCCTGGTTACCAGGGCAACAGTTCTGTTGATCCAATAGTGATGCTTCAGTTTGATCCCTCTTCCTGGTTCTCCAGAATGGGATCTGCATGGAAAAAAAAAACAAATGGTCACCTGTTAGCCTTCTAATGGACTTATCAAACATAGTCAGTCGACTAGTAAACAGCAGTACCTGTCAGCGTTCCAAGGGGCAGGACAGAATTGGTGCTGAGGTCTTGATTAGATGGAATAAAGCTGCTCGGAGACGGAACCATGAGGACGGCTCCTTCACCCATCCCAGAACTCTCTACCGTTTCCTCCACTTTAGGAGAGTCTAGAGTCTAAACCAATTGGGGGGTCCCCAATTATATTAGCAGGAAGGTGGCATGAGAATTTTTGGAAGGAGTTTAGAAAATGATGATACCTTTTCTCCTTGCATATCATTTGATCTCTCATCACTCTGTTCCTCTTCCCCAGAGTTGTTTTGGTTTTCCGAAGGCTCTTCCTTCACAAGCTCCTGCTCTCCCTCCAGCTCCGATTGGCCGAGAGGGTCCGAGAGGTCCTCTGAGGTCACCGTCTGGATGATAATGCCAGGGTGGGACATCTGAACGGTCACATTCTCAGTGTCAGTCTGATGAGGAAAGAGAAAATAATGTTATCTTATTTCAATTAACAAATGTGTTTTTAATAGTTTTAGCTCACTATAATAGCACACAAAAGTTTTACCGTGAGGCTGTGTAAAATAATCTGGTCTGGTGAAGACGGTGAAGCTGCAGCTGTGAGTGTGACCGTGGGATTGGCTGAGAGTGTGAGTGGGAGGCTCTGATTGGTTCCCGTTTGGAGGAAATAAGTTCCAGGGGTGCCAGTGGGCTGCAGGTGAAATGACTAGGGAGGAAATTACACTCATTATTAACAAATCCAGCCTGAAATGATCTAATAATAATCATAGTTTTAAAAACAAAAACGATCAAAAGTAAATCCGAGATACTCACAGGCAGTAATTCAAAGGTCTGCAAGGCTCCGGAGTTCAATGTGATGGTTTCACTGTCTGAAGTACCGCTTGCACCGTCTGAAGAAGCTGTGTAAAGAGCATTGTAACAGTTCACATCGCATCTATTAAACTCACATAACCGCAATAATTCCTCTAGATGTCCCCTTAACCTGCAAGAAACATCACAAGCGGTTCACTGAAAGCACAGTCACATGATTCTTTTACTCACAGACATGTGTGATCTGCACTGGAATCTGGACCGGGATCTGCAGAGCAGTGACGGGGCTGGGCGACGCATTAGTCGATCGGGAGCCAACCACCACGACTTTGTTCATCGTAGACGGCGGTGACTCCACCACATCCTGCAGCCCTTTCAACAAGACTACACACACACGGAGAACATGTTTCAGAGTCTGAACTCACATTATAGCACACATGCTGAACTTTGAAGACTCACCGGGAAAGGGAAGTTCCTTGTGATTGGCCACTTGTCTTTTGATGGTCCACCATTTGCTACGGAGCCACTGAGGCGAGCGAACGCTGCTCCACCCACCAGACAGAATGTCCCAGTTAATGTCATTCTCATCCTCCACATCCAGCTCGGCTATCCTGCTCATACAGAGTTACGATTAATGATTCATATTTAGTTTGTAAACACATTTACAGTGTCCTCCATGCTGGCCCTTTAGCCGTGACCGACCTTCGTACAAGGTTGATATCGTCATCTTTGGTCCACTCTGTCCCACCGCTCTGTTTCCAGTTAAGGTAGTTGAGCCATTTGGAGCGGCACTGCTTCTCTGAACGAGTGCCGACAAGTTCAGCCACGGACGCCCATGAGACTCCCTGAGTTACAACATCACCCGCCTCTGTGCCAGTCAACTCGTGGACCACCTCTGCCAGCCTTCTCTCTTCCTCCTCTGTCCATTTTCCTAACACGTGGGAGTTTAAAAAGATATTAGTGTCACCCACACCTTTTTCAAAAGCATACTTTTAGGGATGGGCAACGATTAATCGCGATTAATCGCATCCAAAATAAAAGTTTGTGTTTACATAATATATGTGTGTGTAGTGTGTATAATTAATTTGTATATATAAATACCCACACATGCATGTATATATATTTAAGAAATATATGTGCATGTATATATTTTATATATATTTATTCACAATTAATATTATATAAATATAAATATTTGATATATTAATAACACATTTTTCTTAAATATATACATGCATGTGTGGGTATTTATATATACAAATTAATTATACACACTACACACATATATATTATGTAAACACAAACTTTTATTTTGGATGCGATTAATCGAGATTTATCGTTGCTCATCCCTAATATATATATATATATATATGTGTGTGTGTGTGTGTGTGAATGAATAATAGGTTTTATATATAAAATGTATAATAATAGTATAATAATAAATGTTATAATTTAGAATAATATTATACTAATGATTTTTTCATTAATTCAAAACTATTACAAAATTTGTTTTAATAAACATACATTATATATATAACGATTGAACAAAACACTTATTTATTCATTCATTAATAATTACTAGAACTATACTATATAAATGATAATTATTTGTAATAATTAAATAATAAATTAAAAATTATATGCAACAGAAACATATTTAAAATTCTTTAATCCATTATATTATATAAAAAAAAAATACTACAGACATTTCTATGTTCTATATTATATATACATTTAAATAAAACATAGATACTATACTTTCAAATGGATATAGTTTCTGCTAGTATAATAAAAACAGACTAAAAAAACTAGAAAACACTAAAATGAAAATTTGGGGGAACTGACCGGTGTTGCATGTGTCCTTCATGAGTCGGCAGCGGTCCTTCACAGACGATGCACTCCGGCCAAGTGCCGCCCCTATGGTAGCCCAGTCATTTCCATGTTTCTCCCTTAGCCTAATAACACAGACACACACACCGAAATCTGACAATGTAGACTAAATTCAGATTACACTAATGGCATTCATAGATTGATAGTTCAACTTACTCTTTCAATTTATTGATCTCCTCATCAGTGTATCTAAATGACAAGAAAGGCACATATGAAATGTTACAACAAACATTTTTGGTGTATATATGGTTTGTAAATCTTTTTTTAACAGAGAAATAAAATCTACTATGTCCTTACTTGCCTACGTGGTTTCGGTTATCGTACATTCGTAGCACGCGTCTGTATACCGCAAACAGCGGTCTGTTCAAACCGCACGCTATACTGCGGTAAAAATCCTTCCGCTCCTCTTTTGACATCTCGAAGATGATCTCCGCAGGGTCCTGGATCCCTCGGTTCTGAGTTTGGAAGCACAAACAGATGAAGAGTTAGGGTGCAAATCAAAGATGGCACCACCAGCAAATGTGATGCATTCATAAACCATACTCACCTTTAGATAATGCTCTATGTTGCTCATCAGGAGATCAATCTCCTCTTTTGACCACATACCCTGCTTCCATTTGTGACCTGAGGGTATATGACAAATACTATCACTGCGCATATTGATACCAGGTCCTATATTTCTAATGCTGAGTTTGTATGATAATACAGATCGGTATATATGCAGAATATGCCAAACGTACCCTTGTTAACCAGTGTGTCTTTATCCTCTTTCGTGGTGAACCAGGCTTGACTGACAGCTGATACATCTTCACCTTTCTTCTGCCCAGGAGAATCATTATCCTGTTGACACACAAAGTTTTACATTGATTATTTAAAATAGATAAATAAATGAAAGGTGATACTCATAAACATTTGAACTTGGGTTTCTACCGGTGTTTCAGAAGGATCATCAGATTCCAGCTCCCCATCTCTCATCTCTGTAGCAGTCATTGTCACCTCAAAGCTTTCATCGCCTTCTGTAACTGAAATCAGCATCTTTACAGTTTAGTGCGAGTGATGGGTGCAAGTGATTTTGTGTGCGTGTAATTTTTAAGTTAAATATTAAAACAATATCAGTAAATAAATGTCATTATTTGTTATTTAGACATGATATAGTCAAATCAAGTCATCTTTATTTATATAATGCTTTATACAATACAGAACAAACGCCTTAAACGAACAAATGCGGTGTGATTATGATTCAGGCTGCATCACCACATAGACATGTATTTATAAATATTACATTAATTTGTGATGGCTGACAGGAACGTTTTCAGGAAAATTATTTAAAAACAATCAACATTTGCATTATCAAATGGCATACACTGTATATACACATGTACATGTGTGTTTCTACTCACTAGGCAGAGTGACAACAGAGTACTCGGTTGAGGTAGAGTCCTGAGGGTCTTCTCCGTCTTCATGGGAAAGCCGCAGTCGTTTGTGAACAGGTTCATTGGTCTCGTCTGAACCCAGATCCTCCACATCTACATGACCAAAACATGCATTAATATTATAGAAACAAATACTTACAATACAAGACAAAATGTCTTGTAAAGCACAATAGAATGAGGTCACAGGTCAGTTTTACCATTTTGAGGGCAGTGCAGAATTATGTTTCCATCAGTATCCTGAGTAAATGTGACAGAATTGACGGATTCAATGGTCACAGTTGCCGGGACATCCCCTGTGTTCATGCTCAGCCTACAGGTTAATTAATTGACAAACACACACACACACATTTATAATAAGCTAAAGAGGTAAGCATAAACACATAATTTGAATTGTATATTCATTAAACTAATGTAAAATGTTGCCATTTTAATTCAGATAGTTTGCTGCTGTATATATTTTCACCATAGATCCACAGGACATTTAACCAGTGCACTGCAAACTTGAATGAAGCACACAAATGCACGACTCGAGAGCATGTTAACAACATTTTTGTGGACAAACTGAATAATATCAGCATTAAATAATATTATACACCAATATGAGTATTGTCTTATTGTTAATTTCCTATCTTCTCATTTAATAAGCAGATGAGGAATAATGAGACGCCATTTTTATGTGTATCATGACGCCTTGAAGTAACGACGACATTTATTCGACGTGGTGCATTGTTTTTTTGACGTAAAGAATAAAACAATACAGGTCCAGCGCACAGGGGCGAGCGAAAGTGAAATTTAGCTATGATTTTGGTACTTACTTCCTGTTTTGGGTACGGGGACTTCGCAGTGACCAGGATGAAGGCAAATACCAGGATGGAGGAAAATGCGCTTTTTTTCTTCCTCTCCTCATTCAGAGCGGAAGTATCTACAGAAGCCCGATGGTGACTTCCGTTTACTTATTTATTTTTTTGCTCGAGTGTGAGTCTGTCTAAAAAGTGCACGTTTATGTGACGTGTCACCTTATATCTACATAATACTCGTCTGTAGAATTAAAGGTTTTACTATGTAACTTAGGTTAAACAGAAGTATTAGACTTACAGCGGATGCATTGAAACGATATCAGATTGGTGGCTCTATCAGCAGCGCCACCTGCTGTTGATTAGGGGCTTGTTCAAATCAAATATTGATTTATTTATTTGTTTATTTACACTGTCAGAACATTTATGAGCTGAAATTTGATATACAATACTCTACTACTTGATTTCAAATTAACAACGAAATATTTTTGCTGCAATTTTGAAATGAAAATGTGTGATTTTCCTTGTCTCATCTTTGATATAGTGTGAAAGTTATTATGATCACCGGTGATATAGTCTTACAAGATTCTTACAAAAAAAAGAACGAAGGGTCAGTAGATAGATAGATAGATAGATAGATAGATAGATAGATAGATATATAGATAGATAGATAGATAGATAGATAGATAGATAGATAGATAGATAGATAGATAGATAGATAGATAGATAGATAGATAGATAGATTTGGTTGATTCTTACAAGATTCAAGTTCAAAAAACAAGTTTGTTTATATCATGACAGTCAGTAAATAAATGAGATTGTGTAATGGTGTAATATTACTGAATTATTTATTATGCATCATCTCTCTGGTGCCCTTCCAACATGACTGTCTTACTGGGGGTCACTGTAAATAATAAAAGAGCATTGTGTGAGTGTTCAACTTTTTTGTGCATTAACAAAGCATCATTGAACAATCCTATGCCAGGCATTTTATAAGCTATTGTATTTATATTATAAATAAACAGTTAGTTTTTTTTTTTTAGCGGAACATTGTCATTTGTGAATCCTTAATGCTTCAGGTATTACGAAAAGATTAACTTGGCCTAAATAAAAGATGTGAATTGACACAGGGAGACTAGACTAGCGTGACGTCAGACGCTCGCTGTCAATCAAAGCCCCATAAGCGCAACTACAGTAGGAGCTTAACGTTGAACAGAGAGCAGCGTGTTCGCATCTCAGTGTGTAGTTTATGAATAGACATCGCGAAATCTCGTTATCTTTACTTAGATCCTTAGCATTCCTTGGTTTTCTGTAATTCCTGCCTTTATGAGATGGAGAAGAGGGCGCTTTGGACATCCTGTTATTTTGTGCGCTTTGTAACCCTCTTCCTCTGCGCACGAGCGTCAGTGAATCTGCCACAGTGTAAAGAGGTAAACGACAACATGCCACCTTTCTGTAAAATATTTTAAATATCACGACCATTTTAAACCAGTCACAACCTATACAAATCTTGTTTCTGCTTATGACATAACTATTTAAAATGCATGCTAAAATATTATACGGATGATATGCTGTGAGCTTCTAAAATGCTTATTGTTATTTTGTATTTTAATACACAATCATAATGGTTATTTTTGAACATTATACGCGATGAAAAAGCAAAAAGAACATCTTGTTATTGACATTAAAATGGTTAGATCCGAGACTGACGAGGATCCTATAATATGATGACGCTGTCTCAGCTGACCAATCAGATGACAGCTCGATTATTGTGCGTTATGCGCTGCAGTTGTTTTATAGCTTGTAAAATGGATTCATACGAACTTATAACATTTTATGCAAAGCGAATGAGCTCTCTGGATCTCCACCCTCTATTTGATTTGAAAAGACTGGTGTTGTTCTTGTACAAGTACACTGATTTGCCTTCATGTTTGCACATTAAAGGGCCACAAAGAATAATGAATTCTGGGCAGAATAACAGCCTCAGTTACCATTTGCTTTTAATGTATAGAAAACGTTCTTTATATCTAAAATACGGGTTCGGAACAACATGGGTGGTGAGTAATGATGACAGAATCTTAATTTTAGGGTGAACTGTTACTTTAAGAGCATTTGTGAGGGGGGCTGGCTGGACTGGGGCAATAGTGACAGGTGCAGGTGCATCATTAGTGATAATGTGTTTGCTGTAACCAAGCATTACCAGATGACAAGCACCTCCATGGGGATGCATTTATCACCTTACTGAAGGCAGTGTAGCCAACAACTTCATTACACTGTATTATACAGCATTTGGTGCTATACTAAGTTATGTAATTTAATGCATGGCATGTGCTCTTCCTTTGTGTGTGTATTCAGTGGATTTGGCCTTTGTGTGTGTAGTAGACCCCTAAAAGGACAGGAGAACAGGAGGTGTGTCTTTCAGGGCATTGAATACAAACTGATTTGCATAACAGATCTATCAACAAAGACGCAGCACACACAGGACGTATTTAGTGGCCTCATTATTTCAGGCTGTTATCAGTGTAAATCAGACCCTAATACATTAACATCCACAACCAATAGCAATGAGTGATTGTCATGACAACAATCGCAGGGCTCCTGGCTGTTGCCCTGGTGACTGTCCGGGGACAGAAGGCAGATAGAATGATCGTCCCAATCCCCCCTCCCACCGTACACACACACACACAATATCCGGCTATCTGTTATATGTGCCTGGGAGTTTGAGTGTTTTGTAAACAGGAAAAGATCAGATAGGGCTGAGTGGGGTAAGATGTGTCACCTGCTTAATCTAAAAAATGTCAGAAATTTTGTCATGTGACCATATGTTTAGAAAGGCCACATTCTGTAAAGCTGCCTGTGTTTTTGATAAGAGCACATGAGAAAAAAAGATGAGCATGTTCTATGTACATATCCAGGATACATTTTTCTTGCTGCTGAATGTATACAACCATGCCAATTATTTTGCTAAAGATTGCCCTTATATATTTTATTTGAATTACTTTATTTTGTTTTTGTTAAATGTTTTATTTTATTTTATACAGAATGATAGTTGTGCAGTAAAGGGATCAATTGTGCCATTGGCTCAAATAAAATAATCATTGTGCTTTGCCACTAAATGAAACACTATTATGAAATGTGCAAAAACAATTCACTGCTGTAAATGTCTGAATAGGTCAATGTGTATATGTTTCAGACATATGTTGAGTAGTTGTAACATTCCAAAATTTTTCTTTGCTGATTTATGAACAAAAAACCCCAGATATAGTCCCGTTTAATGACCATAACGTGTGTTTGATGTAGTATGTCTGAATATGTCGATATCTGTGTGTGTTTCAGACAGATTACTACTTTGAGTACACAGAGTGTGACAGCACAGGCTCCAGATGGAGAGTTGCCATTCCTCACAGACAGGGGAGCTGCACGGGCCTGCCAGAGCCAGTCAGAGGCACAGACTGCAGTAAGAAAACAACCAAATATAGACATGCTTCATGAATATGCACTACATTACTTAAAAATCAAACCAAGTGGCTTTTAATTTAAAGTCAATGCACTCTATGCATGCTCAAAAAAGTATTTGGACACTTTTAGCAGAACATGTTCACAATTATTATTTTATACTTTACTATTTTTGACTTCATGCATACATAAAATCACAGGTTGTTAAAAGTAATTCCAAAACTAGATCATAAAAAACGCTTAAGTTAGTTTTGAGAAAAGCTCTGGGCGCATTTCCTTGGTTTTATATTTAGTTAGTTATCAAAAGTACTTGTCAAGTGAAGAGACGGGAAGGCTAAGTATGGCAACACACACTCGGAATTTGTCCTCTGTATTTAACCCATCCAAGTTAGTGCACACACACATTAGGAGCAGTGATTAGTGAACACACACGCACACAGAGCATTGGGGCACCTCAGTCGTTGCCGGCATTGAGAATCGAACCCACAACCTCTCGAACCATAAGGCCACGACTGCCCCCAATAACAATAACATTCAGTGAATGTGTAGGTTTTAACAGCATTCCCATTAACAGCATTCCCATTAAAGAATCATTTTTGGTTCCGCAAAGAACCTTTAATTGAACCGTTTTCTTAGTGTGAAGGGCATTTTAATCCTCTAAAGTACCCATTTTCACTAGTAAGGTCCTTTTGTACAATTACGGAAAGGTTCCATGAATGTTAGAAGTTGAACATGGAATAAAGAACCTTTATTTTTAAGAGTGCAAACACAGTCTGTTCTTATTTGTTCGCACAGCTTTTTCTTGTGAAGCTGGGGAGTTTTTGGAGATGTCCTCCCAGCAGTGCACGTCATGTGCGGCTGGCTCTTATTCGCTGGGCAGTGGTGTGCGTTTCGATCAGTGGGATTCCATCCCTGCAGGATTCAGCAGTCTGGCCACATACATGGACTCAGGAGGTTCAGGAGACGAATCAATGACCTGCAACAAGTCAGTGCCAAGTTGCAGGCCAATCTGAAATATTTTCTGTTTATATATCATATATTCTACCAGTTTACACTGTAGTTCCTCAATTGCAGTTCCTCATGGACAGCTCAGGGAACTCACTTGGAATCCAATCGTGACGACTGCACAGTGTCGCTGGTGTACGCGGTGCATCTCATGAAGCAGGGATCCGTCTCCTTCGACTATCAATATGTCGACAGCAACGTCTTCTTCGAGTTCTTTGTGTGTTTTACTTTATACAGCTTGCAGTTTATTCTACAAATGCGCTGTAAGCGAAACTATAACTCCCAAAAAATCCCGTTTGGTACAGATTCAGAATGACCAATGTCAGGAGATGGACCAGACAGGGAGTGAGAAATGGATCAAACTCACCACCAGCGGAGAATGGGGAACACATACGGTTAGGAATTTTGCATATTAAATTAATATTGAATAATTTGGATGTAAATTGACATGTAATGTAGTTTTTGTATGTCGCAGGTAAATCTGAAGACAGGAACGAATATTCTGTATTGGAGAACCACGGGAATGCTCTTGGGTGGCAAACCAGTGAAGCCGGTCCTTTTGAAGAACATCCAGATCGAAGGTGTGAGATTCTACCAATGTCAACATGTGTGACTCATGCCCTTCTTACTGACAAATCATTATACTTTTACATGTTTTGTGAGCAGGTGTGGCGTACACGTCAGAGTGTTTTCCGTGCAGGCCGGGCACCTTCAGTAAAACTCCAGGCTCTTCCACATGTGACCTTTGTCTCAGGAATACTTACTCTGGAAAGGGAGCCAGTTCGTGTACACATTGCTCCGAGATTCAGTATTCCCGTACGAATGCAGATGATTTCTTACATTCTTTTGTTGTGCCAAACGAACTACTGTACATATGGCTAGTATCTAGTAACTTAAACACACCATTCCCAGCGCACGTTTGTGTGTAATGTTTTTCTACATGTGTGCATGTTCTAGAGGAGGGATGGTCGCGGTGTAAAGAGAGGCCTCCTTGTTCAGAGAAAGATTATTTTCAGATCCACACGGCCTGTGATGGTGAAGGCAAGGTAGGATTTAATGCAGAATGTGTTTTGTTGTAAATGTTGTGTGGATAATTGGTTAATTGTTAAGATCACGGTATCATTTTAGACCCAGATACTGTACAGGTGGGTGGAGCCTCAAGTGTGTGTGGAGAATGTGACCGGTGCTGTCACACTGCCACCTTCTGGAGAGAAAGAGGACTGTCCACCCTGTAATCCAGGCTTCTACATGCACAACTCTTCTACCTGTTTACCTTGCCCACAAGGGACTTATTCGGATGGTACTGCAGGTATATGGACACACACATAAACATAGATACATACTTGTGTGTATTATTAAGTTATACTTTTGGTTTACTGATACTGTAATGGAGATTTATCTTGACACAGAATGTCAAAGATGCCCGGGAGGAACTGAACCTTCTTTAGGATATGAATACAAGTGGTGGAACATCCTCCCGAGGAATATGAAAACATCTTGTTTTAATGTGGGCAACTCTAAATGTGATGAAATGAATGGTAGGTGTAATACAATATAAATATACACTCACCGGCCACTTTATTAGGTACCCCATGCTAGTAACGGGTTGGACCCCCTTTTGCCTTCAGAACTGCCTCAATTCTTCGTGGCATAGATTCAACAAGGTGCTGGAAGCATTCCTCAGGGAGTTTGGTCTATATTGACATGATGGCATCACACAGTTGCCGCAGATTTGTCGGCTGCACATCCATGATGCGAATCTCCCGTTCCACCACATCCCAAAGATACTCTATTGGATTGAGATCTGGTGACTGTGGAGGCCATTTGAGTACAGCGAACTCATTGTCATGTTCAAGAAACCAGTCTGAGATGATTCCAGCTTTATGACATGGCACATTATCCTGCTGAAAGTAGCCATCAGAAGTTGGGTACATTGTGGTCATAAAGGGATGGACATGGTCAGCAACAATACTCAGGTAGGCTGTGGCGTTGCAACGATGCTCAATTGGTACCAAGGGGCCCAAAGAGTGCCAAGAAAATATTCCCCACACCATGACACCACCACCACCAGCCTGAACCGTTGATACAAGGCAGGATGGATCCATGCTTTCATGTTGTAGACGCCAAATTCTGACCCTACCATCCGAATGTCGCAGCAGAAATCGAGACTCATCAGACCAGGCAACGTTTTTCCAATCTTCTATTGTCCAATTTCGATGAGCTTGTGCAAATTGTAGCCTCAGTTTCCTGTTCTTAGCTGAAAGGAGTGGCACCCGGTGTGGTCTTCTGCTGCTGTAGCCCATCTGCCTCAAAGTTCGACGTACTGTGCGTTCAGAGATGCTCTTCTGCCCACCTTGGTTGTAACGGGTGGTTATTTGAGTCACTGTTGCCCTTCTATCAGCTTGAACCAGTCTGGCCATTCTCCTCTGACCTCTGGCATCAACAAGGCATTTCCGCCCACAGAACTGCCGCTCACTGGATGTTTTTTCTTTTTCGGACCATTCTCTGTAAACCCTAGAGATGGTTGTGCGTGAAAATCCCAGTAGATTAGCAGTTTCTGAAATACTCAGACCAGCCCTTCTGGCACCAACAATCATGCTACGTTCAAAGTCACTCAAATCACCTTTCTTCCCCATACTGATGCTCGGTTTGAACTGCAGGAGATTGTCTTGACCGTGTCTACATGCCTAAATGCACTGAGTTGCCGCCATGTGATTGGCTGCTTAGAAATTAAGTGTTAACGAGCAGTTGGACAGGTGTACCTAATAAAGTGGCCGGTGAGTGTATATATATATATATATATATATATATAGAGAGAGAGAGAGAGAGAGAGAGCATATTATGTATATCATATTTGCTTCTGTAGGTTGGGAGGTGGCTGGCGACCATATTCGTAGTGGAGTGGGTGGCTCAGATAACGATTACCTCATCTTAAATTTACGAGTGCCTGGATTCAAGTGAGTCAAATCTACAATTATCGTGTAAAAATTCTGCCTGTTCACAGAACATTTAAAGACGTTTACCTTTTATCTCTCTCAGACTTCCTACTTCTGTGGACGATGCTTCAGCTACTGAGTTTGGCCGAATCACATTTATCTTTGAGACCAACTGCAGCGCAGACTGTGAACTCTATTTCATGATAGTAAGACAAAAAAATAACATAAAAAGTATGTGAAAAACATTATGCAGTATGCAATGATAAATTAAAATGCTACCTCACAATGTTCAGTATTTAATTCAGCAGGTGGCCCAATCATTATGATAAATGAAGTTATTTAATGAATCAATATCTTCTCTGTAGGATGTAAACAGGAAGAGCACAAATGTTGTGGAATCATGGGTAGGGAGTAAACCTAGACAAGCATACACCCACATCATGACCAAAAATGCTTCTGTGTCTTACACATGGGCTTTCCAACGTACCAACAAAGCCATTGATGTAAGTGTTTACCAGAAATGAGTCTAAAGTACCTTTTTGTTGCATGGAAAACATTCTCATTCGCCGTCTGTCTCTCCCAGATGCGTCACTATGTAAATGACATCGCAAAGATCTACTCAATCACGGTGACAAATGCGATGGATGGCTCAGCGTCTGGTTGCCACGCCTGTGCAATGATGAGTCAGCAGGACGGCTCTTCTTGTGTCCCCTGTCCTGCCGGACACTTCATCAACAAAGACACTAACCAGTGCCAGGAGTGCCCGCCCAACACCTTCATCTCCGGGCATCACATCTATGGGCTCGAGGCTTGTCAGCCCTGCGGTCCTGGTAGCAAGAGCAACAAGGTAAGAGTAAAATCAGAAGAAATGCTTGACTATATATGACAGTATAACTATATATAACATCCAAAATGTGTTTTATTGTGTGCGTTTGTGTCCAGGAACACTCTGTGTGTTTTAACGACTGCACCTTCTCGCATATGGATCAGAACCGAACCTTCACCTACGACTTGAGTGCCTTAAATTCAGTGGGGTCAATCATGAACGGGCCTAGTTTCACCTCCAAGGGAACCAAATACTACCACCAGTTTAATATCAGTCTATGTGGGGCTGAGGTACTCTCACATACAAACATCTCTATTTTTAACTGACTTCAGTCTAGCTAATAATAGATTGCTTTAATAGAAAATAGAAACAGGAACAATTGCTTTTGATCTACATGGTCAGTTTGCACTTTTTACTCTCTGTCGCAGGGGAAGAAGGTGGCGGTATGCACTGACAATGTCACAGATCTGTCTAGTAAGGACATGCAAAATGAATCCGCTGACCTCAACAATTTTGTTGAGACGTTTGTGTGCCAATCTACCATCATTCCTGCAGATGGGCGGGGCTTCAGAACAGCCCTGTCGTCTCAGTCCATCAGCCTGGCTGACACTTTCCTTGGTGAGATTATGTGGTTTGTAACCTTATTTAATGTTATTTAACAAACACTAGCATTCAGAAGCTTGGGGACAGTGAGATTTTTTAAATGATTTTTGAGACAAGTCTCTAATGCTCAACAAAGCTACATTTATATTATTAAGATTTTTAAATATTATTAAAATATGAAATCTCTGTTTTCTATTTTAATATATTTTAAAATATAATTTATTCCTGTAATTGCAAAGCTGAATTTTCAGCATGATTACTCCAGTCTTCAGTGTCACATGATCCTCCAAAAATCATTGTAATCTGAAAATGCTCTGCTACTCTGAACGACTCCCGCTGCTCTGTAGATTCTTTGATGAATAGAAAGTTAAAATATTTTTTTTGTGGCATTATAAATGACTTCAATGTCACTTTTGATAAATTTAATTAATCCTTAGTTTGGCTGACTCCAAACTTTTAAATGGGAGTGTATGTTAAATTACTTTAATGTAATTTGGTGTCAGTCTGTTATGTCCTTCTCTAAGCAAGTCTGCTCAGGAATCAGTGTCAAGCCTGTGTCAATGCCTTTGCCACAGCGAAACCATTAACTTGCTATAATCTACAACAGGGGTTCTCAGGGGCCCTCAAGATCCACTTTCCAGAATTTAGCTCCAATCCAAACTCTCCTGCCTATAACTTCCTAGGCTGTGTCCGAAATCACCGAAATAGGGCACTAAGTGAGGGGACAGCCTTTTATAGTGATGCTCAAAACCATAGTGGACGTTATCGAGTGCACGCATTCAATCCCATAATGCACTGCAACAATGAGTGTACAACCTATCAACAAACCCCTGATCTACAATAAATTTTTGTGTTTAGTTCCCTGCAGAATAGAGGTGTTTGAATTGCTTACTTGTGTCTCATTTTCTTCATGCTTCCATTTCTCAGGAGCTTCTGTTGAGAACAGTCTGGATGGGGTCACTGCCAGCACAGACCTCTTCTCGGAGTCGTCACGGAAAGTTCCAGATATCAACTTCTTCTATCGGTAAATGAAGAAAGATTCAATTAAATTGTTAAAGATTCTTAGTTGATGTGTGCAATGATATTACATTAATAACATGAATGTTTTTTTTTCTCAGCTCTCCGCAGCCCACAGCATCCTGTCTGAATGGCCGTAGCACAGTCGTGACTTTGCGTTGCAGTCCTGAAAAGAGCCCACGTGGAGAGCTCACTGTGCCAAGGTGCATTTATTCAGTTTGACATAACTTTTTTCAATTTAAAGTTCCATTAAAATGTGCATAGTAGAGTAATTAATGGATAATTTAAGAGTGAATGGATAATTAATTTATAAATAAAACCCAAACAGGACGAGTTAAAAAGTCAGTTACATTATTTGTATAGGGTGAATTATCATCAAAGCTCAACAAATTGAAAACTCAGTTATTAATATGTATGCTAATACGAATACCAGTGAAGGTTTGCAGGCCAGTTGCAAATATGCAATGAATATAAAATTGCCAGACCGATTAATTACATTTACAAACATTTTCTTTGCTTACAGAAAAGACACATTAATCACAAAGTGTTTAATGGAAGCCACAGAATAAAACTATTTAAAAGATAATTGTGACTTTTGACTTTATAGTTTGACTGAGTTATAAAGTCAGAATTTTTACTTTTTCTTGCAATTGCAAGTGTATATCTCTGACTTTATATTTCACAGTTCTGACTTTATATCTCACAATTGCAAAGAAGAGCAAGAAAGAGCACAGAGAAAAAACATACAAAGTAACTCCCGATATTGTGTCTAAAATAATTTTTCGTGTAAATGTTTAATTATATAAAAAGAGTTTGATGTGTGCCATTTCTTGATTGTGTGTTTGTGTGTGTTTAGCAAGTGCCCAGCAGGTACATGTAATGGCTGTGAGTTTCATTTCCTCTGGGAGAGCTCTAGTGCTTGTCCTCTCTGCACTGAAGCTGACTATCACTCAATAGAAGGAGCGTGCAAAGGAGGAGTGCAGGTACATCTCTAACTGTACCACACATGTATCTATTCCAATTTATTTGACGCCTTAATGATCGTCCATCTCATAACAGGACACCCTCTATGTGTGGAACGAGCCAAAACTCTGCACTAAAGGAGTTCCGCTCCTGAACAAGACCTCTGCCCACTGTGAGGTGGTCGGCCAATGGGTGAAGGCCGGAATTGGGGGCGGAGCCTTCATGGCCGCCCTCTTGGTTTCTCTCACATGCTATTTCTGGAAAAAGAACAAGAGGTAAACAAGCTGTCAATGGAAACTTAGCTTCAGATGTAAAAATACTTTTAAATTTTTTTTTTTAATCTTTTTCTTTTTTGAATAGGCTCGAATATAAATACTCCAGACTAGTGATGTCAGCCAATAAGGACTGTGAGTTGCCAGCAGCGGACAGTTGTGCACTAGCAGAGGGAGAGGGGGAGGAGAATGATGACGATGTCGTTTACTCAAATACTCCTTCGTTACTGGGTAAACTGAAAGCTATCGCGAGCAAGGTCAGTTACTTGTCAAATTTAATTTCTGAGTTTTAAAAATATATATTTTACTCTACCATTTAAAAGTTTGGGGTCGGTAAAAAGGCTCTTCTGCTCAACCAGGTTGCATTTATTTGACGAAAAATATAGTAAAGTCAGTAATACTGTGAAATATATTATATATTAATATCTTTTATGAATGCTTAATAAGCTGTTTTGGTGCATAAGACACATTTCTTAAAATGATCAATGTTAAAAACAGTTATATTAAATTGACAAAGATATTTATTTTACACTTTTTACAGTTTAATGCATAATAAAGTATAACTTTTCCTACTGATCTTAAACTTTTGTAGAGTTATGCATAGAAATTGTAAAGAAATGCTTGTAAAGAAATGCTTGCATGAATGGGTATTATATGGTACCTGATATTATTTACATATTACTGGAGGCGCAACAAATGTTACCACCTACAGTCAAATTATATAACAAAACAAGTATTTTTTTTAGAAATATCAAAATAAACACCAATTCGTTCACTCATGAGACAGCAGTATATACACTGCCTGACCAAAAAAACAAAGTCGCTGTTTGGATTTAAACTTGAGCCTGATGAATCTTGACATTGTGTGTCTCATAGCCATTATGTGTCTTCCTACATAGTTATTGAAGAAATGAAAAGCTACATGCTCCATCAATTAGGGTATAATAAGATAATACACATATAACATGCTAGAAACACAATCATCACAGTAATAATGGTCCAGTCATAAACTCTTAAAGCATTTGCCAATTTAAATCCAAACAGTGACTTTTTTGGGGGGAAAGGAAAGAAGACCTCAAAAAAAACAACTTTTGTTGAAATTGAGATTATAAGAAAATTAAGTTTACAAAATAAGACATGGCATCCTGGAGCTTCTGTAATAAACTGAGAGATGGTACAAGCTTTCTGTGGTAATTGACAGCTTACCACACTGAGCTTTTGTGTAGTTTGTGTTGTTATTTCATTGTTTGATTTACCTTTGTTTGGCTGCAGGCAGATGGAGACAACAGTGAGTCAGTACAGCTGAAGTCTTCTCAGTCAGAGAGATGGGTTTGGGGATAACTGGAGAAAAAGAGGACCACTACTGATGGAGAAAAAGAGACAAATACTCATGGAGTTTTCGGTTTTCAGTTTCTCAATATTTACAGCCATCCCCCGTCAAAAGTCCCAGAACATATCTCTGTAGGGATGCAATGTTTTGTGAGACAAAAAGCAGGAAATCTCTCTCTCTCTCTCAAAAATTAAACTAAACCCTATAAAGTAACTGCGTCGCATATATATTTATATATACTGCTAGGACATGTCAAAAGCAAATATACCACAAGGCATTGCTCTCTGAAACACATCACAATATACCACACATCCATCCAAGCACGGGGCATCAGAGATACACATTTGAATCAGGTGTGTGTGTGTGTGTGTGAACAATTGAAACCAATGAAACTATATGTTTGCATGTATGCGAATAAGAATATGTTTGAGAGAATAAGTTATCTGTTTCACACACTAGCATTCACACACACACAACTATATCCAGTGTTTGGCCAACAGATGGAGACAGAGACTAATCACCAAACAACAGCTTTAGTTTGATCTCAATGCCAAACATCACACAGCAGATCTAAGAGTCAACAAAGGCCCTTCCTTCATGTATTACAGAGAGGTCCACCCTGTCTCCACATCTCCCTTCTAAGGAGAACAAGAGACAATACAGTTTTCTACTTTGTATTTTGTATTGTTGTGTATTTTGAGCTGTATAAAGTTGTTATAATATATGTTTTGTTTTACTCCCTAATTTCGTTTATGCTTTAATAAAATTGAAGAGTGCTTTAAACGTGAAGCAAGTGTGTACAGAAACGCGCTCCAGACTACCAGCTACCAGAACCATTTCACTAGAAGATCCTTTAAATAAATAAATAAAGGTCCACGGTCTATGAACCAGCAAGGATATGTATCATTGAAAAACAGGATGTGACTCACAGTAGCTCATTCCTTGTTTACCTAATTGAAAATCCACAAGTTTGAGAAAGAGATCAATTATCTGGACATCCCATGGTGTGAGAGTTACTAGACAACCAATAGACAAATACAGTTTGCACTCAGGCATAAAAAAACCCATCAAACTGGCCACTGACATTCATTCATTTAACATGTTTACACAATGTATTTACATTTACATAATTATTATTCAGCTTTGCTAGTGCTTAACTGTAATGTATGCTGGAATATGCATAATTAATAAAAAAATGAATAATGTTTTTCCTTTTTTGGAGGCAGATATTTTGGAATATATTTATGTCAGACAAGTACAGTTTATTTAAAACATTTTTATTTTAAATAATATGTTGGTTAAACAGTAATGCAGATATATCACATGGTAATAAATTATCCAGATTCCAGATAATTCAATACTTTGTAATGATGCAGCTATTTAATCTGTGGATTAAAATATACCTTTAGACCTCAAAAACTGATTACGAGTAGGGACGTATTTTAGGAAAATGACAGAAACAGCTCGCCGAGGTTATGGCTTATAGGTTAACTCTCATTGCACTCTTTCAGCTGTCATTGCATGATGCTGTTTGTTTTCAGGAGAGGCCGTTATTAGGTCTTTCTCCCCCCTCTATTTCCTAACCTCTATTTCCTGCATCCTTTGATCTCATCTCCCTCTCTTCCCTGACGGTAGGCGGAGTAGGATAGCTCGTTTGCCTCCTGGCGGTACAGATGCACTTTGAAAAGATCAGTGAGGGAGAAAACAAAGAGAGTAGACAAGGACGAGAAGTGAGTCACCAGGACACAAAGCCCCAGAGCGAGCAGATGACTAGCCTAGACTCTCTCTCTCTCATACAAATACAAATTTTCATATTTCGTATTAACTGAAAGTAGGGAAGAGTTAGGTAAGCTGTGACACTTTTCAAATGATATTTTGAGAATATCCAGAATATGTTAAGCCCAAATTGAGTATCGAAATAATTTATGTAACTATACTGTATATCAAAATTGAGAAATATTCGGAATAAAATGTACTTTAATAAAACACCACGCATTTTACTTTAACATGCTTAAAACATACATTTAGAGCCTTTCTGATTATCTATCTGATAATATTACAAAAATTGTGCAGTTTTTGGAAGATTAAGGAATTGACGCATCTTACCCCACTCTCCCTAACACTTCATCAGATAAATGATTGTTTGTGTGCAATTGTACAGTATGCTTATGTCATCGTAAAATATATACAGCATGCGATTGATATATTACACCAACAAAAGAAAATTGCATCTACGTGTACGTAACAGTCCAAGAGAGAAATAGTGAACGTATCCTTTTGTGTGCATCGCGAAGTCCAATCTTACATGACGTGGGCATTTTTGTACAGTTCATATGCTAATGGCCTATTTCCAAGATCTGTTTAATGGTTGCAAAAATCCATAATTGCTTCTCACAATCTATTCCCCTCACTAGTTTTCATCTTACAGCTGCAGTTAGACCTCAGGCAAAAAAAAAAATCCACTCAGCAGCTGAGCAAAAATATCTACATAATTAAATCTGATGGAGTCCGAAAAAAAGCTTCATATTCAATGGTAATAGTTTGTGATGGCATGAAACGGGGCTTTGAAATAATACATAAGGTGTTCAAAGTGTTTTTTGTCATGTAACATAGGCTTCCTCTAGGCATCATACTTCTTTCCCGCTCTGTGAATCTGCTGGTATAAGGTCATGGAGAAGGCCATCCCGAGCAGCTGCAAAATAGAGGAAGTGACATCAGCATGGGTGTGTGCATCAAACAGGATGTCTATGCCAGGATGAGTGTGGTCATAATGCTTGTACCTGTAAGACCAGCACACACATCGCGATGGTTCCAAGCAAATGTTTGTTGTCGCTAAGCCATTCCTCAACCTTCTCGTAGCAGCCCTAAAGGTCAGAAAGAATGAAGAGGTGCGTTGCAAAGTGCAATAAGATTATGAGTCAGGTTGGAGTGGCTTTAAAACTGTTTGAAAATGTTTAAAAACTTTTTTGACAACGTGCATGATATTCATAATTTAAAAGTACTACCTTTTAAGCAGTAAGCTACAGTACAAGCTATTAAAAAACTACATTAAAGCTGTTTAAAGAGGAAATAAAATATACAACTCATTTACATTATTAATCTGGACGATTACAGAATTTATGACGACCTCAATTAGAGTGACACGTCATGGGAAATTCCATCTAAACAACTTGTAAACTACTAGCACTAGCTAAAAAAAGGATTCATTTCTACAACTGAATAAAAAATGTTTTAGTTTAACAAAATATTTGTATTCTAGTTTAAAATAATTCCAAAATTTCCAAATTAAATGAATCATTGTTCAATCATTACTCATTTTCATATATATGCTGGATAAACTGCATGTGCCCCAATAAACGACAATATTTACCAACATAAATCGATACTAAAACAGTGTAATGAAAGTATAGTGAATGATTGTTTTGAATCGATTCACTGAATACTGATTCAATTTTGATTGTTTGAAATTAATTTTTGCTTATGAAGTTTAAATAAGAGATAAAATGAAATATAAAAAAATAAAAAAGATGAATTAATATAAAGGCATTAAAATACGTTTTCAGTAATAAAATAAAATAAATAGTATAAATGATTAATTAATATAAAGGCATTTAAATAAGGTTCCAGTAATAAAATAGAATAAAATAAAAACATAGTATAAAGGATGAACAAAAAAAAAAGGGCATTAAAATAAGGTTCAAGTAATAAAATAAAACAATCGTACCTGTGACCAGAAGATGTTAGTGGCGTTGCGACCGCACGCTCTGTAGTGCTCCTGGCAGCATCTGTCTGGCACTGTCTTCTCCTGCAGGGCATCATGCCAGTCTGTGTGCCCAGTTACACCACAGCACTCCCACTGAGAGAAAGAGTACATATTCAGATGCATCATTCCCACACTCCAGAAACAAAATTTTTGCAGACGTCTGCATATTGTTCAATACTAGAGACTTCATGAGTTATCTTCCACAACTACCTGAACTCTCAGTGACCCACCATTACTGTCACTGACGACAGTATATCACACCTGCACTCATGCACACACACACCTCAGCTTGGATAATGTTCCAGGCGTTGCGGAGGCCGACGTTATTGTCCGTGTTGTAGAGGCGTAGGCCGTCTTTAAGATCCTGTTTAGCATTATCACTCACCTGCAGAAGAGTTTAAATCACATTTTCTTCACGAGTTACAGAGCAGATGTTTGGAAATGAAGAAAACTTTAAGATTACTGAGAGTCAACCGGGATATCAGGTGTGTGGGCTGTTGGTGTTGTCAGGATTGGTGTGGGTAATGAGAGTCTGTGCACGGTGGGTGGTATGTTCTGTGATTGTGTGTGTGTGTGTGTGTGCAATAGACAGACTGAGAGGGTGTGTAATGCATGGTGTTCGTACTGTACCTTGTCTGTGTACACGAAGAAAAGGATGAGCAAAATCAGCTCTGCCAGCAGAATAATTAACAGAACAATGAAGAACTATAAGTAAAAAGAGAGTAAAAGTAAGTAAACTATACACCGCTTTACATAAGACATATACATTACATATTTATACTGTGGAATATTTGATTGCGAGTGGTCACTGAGTTGTCAATTAACTGCTTGCTTATTAGCATGCATTTTACTAATTATATTGGCTGTTTGTTAGTACTTATAAAACCGTATTCCGCATGACCATATTCTACATCCCTTAATCCTACCCAATACCTCTTATTAACTATTAATAAACAGTAATTAGGAGTTAATTGAGGCAAAAGTCATAGTTAATAGTGAGAATTGACCCCAAACTAAAGTGTGGCCATGTATAATATATATATTTTTCTTAGCGGAGGAGGCTTCAAGCCAAAATACTTAACAAGTGTCACCCAAAGGCTGACAGAAACTATAAGCGAGTGAAATTTGACATGTTTTTGCATCATTCATAATAATGGTAGCAGTTGGAACGTGGGAATGGAGACAGGCATGCTTTTGTTTCTCACTCGCAGCATCTCATCAGCGCAGCTTTCTCTCCACTCCCACACTCTTCATCAACGCAGCGCTACAAAGACCCCTGATGCTGCACGCCGTAGTGTGAATCATTTACACGAGCCACACTTTGCGCCATAGTAGTTTTCTGGACAACAATTAAAAATGCTTTACTAAATAGACATACTCAAAAGTCTGTAAATATCTTGTTTTAATGTTTAACACTATTGCCCGGATTCATAGACAAAGCCTACGCTTAATCTAAGACTAAAATGCATGTTTGAGCAACTTTAACCTTCATACAAATAATATATCTTTTTTTGTTTTGTTTACTTCTCATCTATTCATTAATGCTGTGTTTTGGAGATATAATGTACTTTTGTATCCATATACCACACAATTCCTCAACTACACCATTAGCTTTCATATGAAATATTATTTTTTATGATACATTGCATTTATGCTCTAGTACTAGGCCTTCATTTCTGTGTAAAATTTTTCATATAAATGCTGGATTTTTTTTATTTTTTTGACACATGAAGAAACTATTTTTTTTTTCACATTTCCCATTCATTTTGACCCCGAAGCCCAGAAATGTTAATTTTTTTTTACATATCTTCAGAACAACCGAATCAAGCCCAGTTTTGTGTGTATAATTTGATAATTTATGAAAAGTCACAAAATCTTATTCCACTGAGATGAAGGGAACCTTTTTTTTTTATAATGGGTAAAAATTGATTGGGGTCGTATAGACCCCATGACCCGATTGAGGGTAAAGGCCTATATGCTTAAAGTTGATGAAAAGCTTATAATTAACTAAAATCATAAAAATGTCAAATTTTAAATAAATAATCTTCAAATAAAACATTCAAAGTGAAATGCTTGCTAAAAAATGAAATATTTTATTTATTTACATGCATGTCATATGACCATTAACCGGCAGCAAAGACCCATGAACATATAATTTTTTTGTTAAATTACTGAAATATTAATCTCAGATGGTACTCAAGTAAATATTTTAGGTCTTGGCTGATAAAAAAAAAAGTTTTTGTGAATCCCTAAACTAAACAATCAAATTTGTATGTGCTTTGTAGCATACAGTATATAACATGCATTATTAAAGCTACACTGTGTAACTTTTAGTTTATTCTTAGCTAAAAACACTTAGTTCTTTCAAAAATATATGTGCTCATTAATGTATATTTACTTCATTCAAATAATAAAGTATTCTTGTGAGTGTATAATATGCCATTGAAAATACATACGGGTAAGGGGTTCTAATGTCGGTCGCCATGTTGCCCCTCCATCTTGAAAGTACATTAGCCAAAAGAGGGACATTCCCGTTAATTCAAGCTTCGCTTTTTCGCGTTTACGTTTGAATTAACACTCATGGACGAGGTCGAACTGGAAGCCATGTTAATCTTGGACTACAATGGCCACCGTAGGAGTTAAAACGAAATCGGAATTGAAAGGAACAGAAACTAATATTCACTGGATGGTCACATACCTTTTCACCGCTAGATGGGGGTAAAAATCACACAGTGTAGCTTTAAGAAACATGACAACCCAAGATTACACTAACCCAGGGTTAAAACAATCCTGGGTTAAAAATGTGTTCATTATACTGCGTGCATTGTGGGAGATGTAGGTGTTGACTTACACTTAGCAACAGGCACTTGTTCTCCTTGATGGCACCGAGGCAACCCAGGAAGCCCGTTACCATGACGACGGAACCCAATGTAATGACCAGATTGGCGGCGGAGAGGGAGGGGAAAGAGGGGGAGAATGTGGCAAAACTGCCCTGAGAAACAGACAGCCAGATGCCGACGCCTAACAACCCACAGCCCGACAACTGAGGAGAGACAAAGAGAGTGTTTCATATTAAAAAAACACACAAAAACTAAATCAAACACGCATAACCGTTCAGTTCGGTAGTATTCTGTCAGGCTTTTACTTGTGTAAAAGTTTTATAAAGTATTAGAGCAACTCTTCAGTTTCCATCTTTGAAGTCAGTAGGTCTCAGAAGCACCTGCACCACTTTGTGAGCTCAATATCACTCAAGGTAAGTTATAGTTAGTGTTGCAGGACTGAGGTAGAAATGTGTCTGCATGCCTAATCAACAAAACGATATCTGTGTCAGCTCTCCCTGCTGTGAGAGCAATATAAATGCTAATAGGACCGCAATAAAGGTTGTTGAGTATTGAAGTGTGAATTTTGTGTGTGTGTCTAGACCGTACAAGGTGTGAAGTAGTAATTTCATGCTCAGGTAACTGAAATGTAAAAGTATTCCAGTCTGCTATAAGAGAAAGTTAGCTAACAAACCTGCACTAGCGCCAAAAACCCAGAAAGAACTGTGTTTGCAGAAAAAAGATGGTACATGTTTGTGCATGTCATTGCTGCAAAATTAAATTTTAAACAAAAATGTCAAAAATGCTCTGGTTTATCCCAATTTACCAAGCAGAGTCAACTATAAATAAACCATTCACATTTTTAAGATCACATTTGTGTATTAAACATATTTATCTTGACGATTCAACTCTATTGTCATGGCCGATGATGACTGATAAATTACTGACACACGCAAATATATATTTACAAACCTTTATGTTAGATGCGATTAATCAATTTGTCAGCACTAATTAAAATAAATATTAACATGTAACTTTTTAATAAATAAAACTAAATCAATTAAAACTAAAATCAGTTGTTTTAAATGCTACAAGACTTCAGGCATCATCAACATTATAATTTATAATATGAAAAATGGACATTAATTTTAAGATTAGCAAAAGATAAACATTTAACAATGCTAAATCATTTGTGTTTTTAAATATTAACTTATAATAAATGTAAGTTAAAATAAATGTAAAACTAAAATAAATGTCTTTAAAATGAAAAATTTGCAGGGCAAGATGTTCTCTGTTAATCCTCTCTAACATTATGTGTGTCATTGCAAGATATGCCCTAGAGTGCAGCGGTCTGGCTCCCCACACACTCCTCTTTTGAGTTTAACAGAAGGTGAAAAGATGTGTCATTCAGGTCCCTCGAGAAAATACCCAGCATGCACTCTGAGAACCATGGAGAATCTAAAATGAACCAGAATCCTTACGCTCGGAAAATGATGAGTATGAATAATAAGAGATAAAACAGGTGTGTGTGAGCGAGAGAGAGAGAGAGAGAGAGAGGGAGGGAGGGAGAGAGAGAGAGAGAGAGAGAGAGAGAGAGAGAGAGAGAGAGAGAGAGAGAGAGAGAGAGAGAGAGAGAGAGAGAGAGAAGAGAGAGAGAGAGAGAGAGGAGAGCAGTGAGGCAGAAAAATAGGTTAAGGATGATGAACATTTTTCAAAAAAGCCATGGAAATGAAAAATATGGCACAGTAATCAAAACGTCTGAGAGGAAATAATTAGGGAGCAAATGCAAGCAAGAAAAATAAGCCAAAGAGCACAGAAACTAGAAAATAAGAAAATAAAACAAACAGGAAGAGCGAAGAATAATACTATTCTGTCCACTCCACAGGAGCAGACAGACCATGCAGGATAATAAACAGCTTTTAACCCAAATTTTAATATTCACGATGCACTACCAGAATGAAGACACACAAACAAATCAAACTGAATTCAATCTATTCTCTCTGCCATTGGAAAATCCTTCATAATGGGTTTGTTCTTAATCTAATCCTGCATTTCAAACTGGGAGACGGTTTGTTTGTGATGTAACACACGCAGCCTGAGCCACACATTCACTAGATAAATGACCTGAAGTAGCATTGAACACAATTGAAGGTGCGTGAAGAGAAGATCGTAGAAAGGACAGCGATAAGAAAAAAAAAATAAAGGATAAGAACAAGAGAAAAAGAAAAAGGAAGAAATAAAAAGGGAAAGGACATGGCATTTGAATGGAAATTTCCTAGAAAGACAAGAAATGAACTGTCATAACAGGAAAAAGACAAAGACAAAGGCCAGGAGTGGAATATGAAAAAAGGAATAAAAAGAGATGAAAATAAATTAAAGAAAACGACATGAACAGAAATGGAAAAAAGAAAAATATAAGAACACTGAAAAAGTGAATGAATATTAAGGACAGGGAAAAGAAAAGGAATACAGGGCAACCATTCATTTTCTCCATAGGGAAATAGATTTTTTTATGAAATCTTACAAAATGTTAAAGACAGACCTACTATTTGCTTCTCTTGAAGCTACCAGCCTGCATTATTATTTCAACTAGGTTTTAAAATAATTGTGTTTAACAGCAGTAGTGAAAAACTACAAAAGGCTTACCCACGATGCTACAGAAACTTCTGAGTTGAAAGAAGACAAACACGCCAAAAGAGTTTGTTAGTTGAATAGTTTTATATATTTCCATCACTTGTAGTTTGATCGTGCTGTGTGCAATGCTTCATGGGACTGTAGTTATTTCCCTCACTATAGACGTACACAGTTTTGTACCATTAGTAATGTTTCACCTTGTCGCTGCTGGTTGGTCATGGCTTATAATGGACTTATAGAAGACTTTTTTAAATCCCTATGGGTGAAATGAAAAAAAAAAAAAACTTCTGGAACCAGCGCCGCTGAAAAAGGGGATAGGCACTAATGCACTCTATAGAAAAATTCAGGAAAAAGGAAAAAGATGGAAACAAGGATATAGGAAAGGACAAATGACAGGAGACAGATAGAAAAGGAAATGAATGGAATAGTAACATTAAAAAGGTCAAAGAATAGGAAAGGGAGTGGAAAAGAAGGAAAAGAAAGAGAAGACCAGATCAGAAAAGGCCTGGAAAGGAAATGGGAAAAGACAATCCAGGAAAATGAACAGAGCAGGAAATTAAAAATAAAGCAACGAAAGAAATAGATAGATACAAAAGGACAGGCAAAGAAAAATGGAAAGGAAATTAAAAAGGAAAAAAGGGAAATTAATAGAAAAGGACATGGGAAAATATAGTATGCAAAGGAAGAAAATGTAGGTAGCATTGATGAATAAGTATTAGAAATGAGATGCCACAACAAGAGAGAGTCAGTTGTTAACAGGCCACATATGCAAAACTGACCTCACACTCACTAACGAGTGTACTGTGTGTTTGTGACCTTATGAAAAGTGAAGCGAATCTGGCCCTAACTTTCTGACTCATGTATTAAACATGGAGCTGCAAACCATCAGGCTCAGTAATGTCAAAAACATGAAATATAGATTAACGGCAACCTAAACACCCCTTCAACTCAACTCAGAAACATCATTACCATCCCATTTACACCCTAGGCAAAATATAATAAAAATGCACACAATTTATCAACTGGCTTTCACATAAGCAGGAAGATCAAGGGTTTTTGTACTATTATGTTATACAAAGACTTTATTGAACGCCTCTCTAAAGTTAAACCTTGTAATTCAGATCAGAAAAGTAATTTCTCTTCAATAGAAAAATGTAACTAGCCTACATAATGAAATTCCAGCAAACCAAAAGAAAACCAAAGTGCTTAGACAAACCGTTCCATGTCAAGATGATTCTATATAAAGCTTTCAGCGTCTCCTTTTCAAATCACTTTTATTTTTATCACTACCTCCTCCGTCTTTCTTATTCCCTCTCAGCACCACTGTTTAAAGTCTACCAGCGTCAAATCTCCAGGCCTTTGCAATCTTTTCATAATTTCCCTATTCTTTTATGTTCCTTTCCCATCACTATAGGGGTGTATATGTGGGTGTGTGTGCAGTGGGAGATTTCAGATCAGTCGGGACTCGGGAGTTTTTTTTCTCAAGTTTCCTGCTTGTGATTTGGTGCATCCGTCATTAAGCCCTCTCAGAATCAAACACACAACAACACAGAGACTCGGCAGATCAAACGAGAAACTCACAGAACCATAATCTGACACAGACTTCCTGTTGTATGTCCACAACAACAACAAAAACAACACCACAGATGAATGAAAAGTTAAATGGTGAGCCTATAAGAGATGTTAGAATGAGAGAGTGAGAGGAAAGTAGGGCGCTTCATTTGAATGCTCTGGTTATTACTGCCTTTGATCTAAGAGCATTTAACACCTCATGAGGAACCTCCTTTCCTCGGCTCACATGACAAACCCTTACAAAACATTGACATCCATTTTCACCAATATACTCCAGTTATAACCAAGAGCGTCATGTCCTTTCAAACTGATTTGTGGGCTAAGTGCATTTTGAATATAATTGTATAAATAATTAAATACAAATAATTAGTACCTTAAATTGATTTCTGACGGAAATTGGTATTTCTTTTAAGGGTTATATGCCATTTGCATGATTTTCAGGTTGTTTGTGATTATTGAGATTTTTAGAAGCTGTTTTATTCACAACTAGCAGTTTACTATAGATTTCAGCCTACACAAAGATTTAATTCTTTTCTATGCTATCAAAATAGCTGATAATACTTTTGATAATACAAAAGTATTATCTAATATTTTCACGATTGTGAGAGAAAATAAAAACATACAGTATTTATGTGCAAAACAAAAACACCACACATCTTAATCCAAATGGCATTTGCCAATAATCTCACATGAACATCCACTGTTTGAAAACCCACTCTCCTCCCAATAAGAAGTTTGCCACCATGAGCACACCTAATAGCACCAGAATAGTGCAAATAGAGCTAAAAATAAATAGCTATAATAGACAATTCTACAATCCCAAGTATGAGTGGAAATAATAGTGATGCCTATCAAAAACCATTAATAATCTTTCCCAAAACTCACATCAATGGCTGAGCCAGAAATTAACATTGCTGAGCCATTCAAACAAACAGCGCATTGTTTCGAAAGTGCTCATACACACACTAGCTTACAACACAGTCTCTGCACATCAAAGATGGATAAGAGAAAGGATTTTTTTTTTAAACAAGTAAGTGTGGATAATTCATGCTGTAGTTTGATACTCACCCAGAACAACAGGTTGAAGAGGAACATCATGTATTTGACACAGCACAGGCATCCACGAGCCATCTTCAACTTCTCGAACTCTAGGAGCAACACAAACGACAAGTCCAGGTAAAACACAACATACTTCCCACGGGCAGACACGCGTGTATCCTGAGGCTTTCCTCCTGGCGGGACCGCAACTACGGCTCCTTCGTTCTGTGCCGTTTGATCTTTGACATTTGAGCCCCGGGAGCCATAGAAAGCCCCCACTGCCAGGCGGTGACCCCGACGGGCCGCCCGGGTGAATTCTGACTCTGCGCTGTCCAATGAGGGGCTACGCTGGACCTCGGATTCGTGGCTCTCACACCTCTGCATCATCGGATGAAGGCAGAGCAGAGGGCATGTTTCACACACAGACTCACACAAGCTGCAACTTAGCACTTAGGAAATTTACCATTTGAAGAAACAGACGCGCTCGCATGAATACCAGAACTTTGGAGGTTACGGATGTCTTCTACTCCAATGGGTCTTTGATCTGTAATTCCTCTGCACTGAGCACGCCTTCTCCCTGTGCTTGGTATTTATCTTTTTCTTCTTTCTGTCTTTTCTATCCTGCGTGTGGGAATGTGGACAATGCGTTATCAACTTTCCCCGCTCTTTCACTGGTCTGGTTCAGCATGATTGGCTTCGTTGCATCGCTGCCACTTTTTTCTCTGCACGCTCTCGCTTCCCTGCAGTGCTATTATTAGAGATTTTGCTCTCCCGTCTTTTTCCATCACAACTAGCGCTCCGTCCCTCTCTCTGCATCCTCCTACCTTCATCCAGTCATCCCTCTCTCTCTCTCTCTCTCTCTCTCTCTCTCTCTTTGGCTCCTCCTCCTACACTTTGGCCAATCTGTTTGCAGGTCAATGGATGCGTTATCTCCCTTCCCACGTACCTTTTGAAAGTATCACAAGCCAAGCGAGAAAATGAAAGCTGATTGAGGGAATAAAGCATATCCTAGCACATGTATGTGCAGTAGTATGTGTAACTCCGGCGAATTTGCATGTGTCCACATGCCATTTCGCCTAAGAGCAATTCTTCAGAGAGATTGTGCAGTGCTAATGTTTCCAAATCATTTCGCTGTTGTAATAGCCTACCATGTGTAGAGAGTGCACCTTAAACACACATTTACACACAAACTTTAAAGACAACATGCATTTGCTTTGTTTTACTGCCTGCTGAAAATATGAACCCAATAAAGGGATTTTCGCACTGGGTTATGAATTTGCTGCTCTGTAAAAATGTGATTTTGTTTTTTATTCTGTCAAAGTTAATGTACAAACTTACATTACCGGTAATTAAATATTTTTTAAAAACTGACTGCGTTGTTAGAAAACATACAAACCCCCCTACACTGTAAAAATATGTTGTTGGTTTAACTTAAAAAATTAAGTAACCTGGTTGAACTGGAAAAAGTGAGTTAATACAATGAAGGAGATTGATTTAATCATCAGAAACTCAAAATAATAAGTTATCTGAACTCAATAAATTATTTAAGTTAATTTGACAAAAGAAAAAATGTTGTGATAACAAATCTTGAAAATATTTTTTTACAGTATCTAAAACATCCAACCAACCAGCTATACCAACAACCCCACAAAACACACTTTACTTCCCTGAACAGCATTAAATTAATAGATACCAATTAGATTAACTTTGAGATGTTTGAGGTTAAGATTTGGTTTGAGACTGCAGTCTCTCATTCCCATTTCAATCTATCAAACCAAAGTCACATTCATAGAGAGTCTTTCCTGTTGATATGATCTTGATTTAACCACTGGCTATCCTGACCTCTAATGTGAGCATGTGTGTGTATATTTCTGTATATATACCCTGTGATACTATTTTTTTAGCTATAATTCCTATTTCCCTCCAGTGCTCTTTCCACTCTAATTAAATGACATAGTGACACTGTGTAACAGTGTGTATGTGTGTTGTATGGAGTTGACTGTGTATTTCACCCTGAGGATGTTTTGTGAGATCTGATGTACTCAGGAAACTCATTAGACAGGATTTTATTAACTGAAAAATCCAGGATTTTATTAACTTTTTTATTCTCACAGCTCCACACACTGCTAGCTAATTTGTACACCTATACGTTTGAGGGCCTCCCATAAATGTAAATTGCCTATTTTGGCACAGTTTTTATGGGGATTTAAACTATTATATATAGTTATAACTGTGAGGTTTCACTATACAATACACAATACATTGGAAGCACTAAGAAAGTTCATTTATGTTTTATAAATAAATTGAATATTTTAAGCATTTATCTTTTTGGAAAAAAAAATACAGTCAAAACAATATTTTGCAATAAGATTAATAACTATTTTCGCAACAATTAGTTAATGCATTAGGTATCCCGAGCAGCAATTTTTAACAAGCATTTAATAATCTATATTAAAATTAATTGTTAAAAACTATATTTGTGTTAATTTTCGTTCATTAAAGATTAAATAATGTTAATTTATACAACCAGAACTGACATTTATCATGACTGACAGATAGCCATGACTGGGTTAATAAATTTCTTTCAAAAACATAAAAATTAAATGGTGATTCTAACATTTTCAGTGTGATTATAACTTATAAGATCATAATTTGGGTATTGCGAAACATTTTTGGTGAACTATTTGCTCAAAAAAAAAAAAAAACCCTCCTTATTCTAATCTGTTCTTCCAGGAACAGCACATGTCCAATTGCCCGAAAAGTAGCGCATAACACAATGCTTTTATGGAATATTTTATGGCTTGTGCGTCTCACGTGGGAGCTGTCCGGGTGCCTGAATAGAACATGACAGCAGAAGCAGTGCAAAATATCTGTTCACAGGTACTTAACGCATCCACAGCCAGGAACCAGTCATTAATTATACATACAGAGAATAGAGGACAGAGAGGATTGCAAGACATTTGATGGAGAGAGAGAGAAAGAAAGAGAGAGAGTATAACAGAATTTCTTAAAGTTAATTGATTTTCTTAATATTTATCAAAGTCTTGCTGAACGTGTCATGTTGGTAATCTGTCAGTATGTAAATCAAGCAGAAAAGTACTATGTCTGGAGATCTTTATATATATATATATATATATATCTACAAAAGATCTACAAAACTACTCAATCACATGCATACTAGTTTGAGTTGTAAAAATGCTTTTAATTAACTTTTTATTCAGATTTATAGCTTTATAATCATAATGGATATTACATATTATTATATGTGGGGAAAATAGTACAGAATCTTTAATATTTCTTATATTAGACTTTTTCTTTGTTTTTAAAAAACAAAACAAAATTGCTGTTTATATCTAGGTTTTGGATCCCACAGTATTGTCACAGTCTGTCGTCCTCACCTGTTTGGTCCCGTCATCTGCACCACACTTCCCCGGATCCTTTTGTTCCTCTCCCGGACTCACTTCCCCAATCAGCCACCTGTTCCTCGTCCTGTCATGATCATTTTCACCTGTGTTCACCCCAATCAACCCTGATTCCTCTGTGTATTTAGTTTCCTCTGTTTCATTCTGTCCTTGTCGGTCAATGTTTAATGTTACGCAGTGTTTCCTGTCTTCCTGCCTGTCTTTTGATATTAAATTCTATATTCCTTGTGACTTTGGACTCAGCCTGTCCTTCTGCCCGAACCAGCACCCGTGACAGATTGACCGACCAAAGAAGTTTCAGCATGGGTATTCTCCTCACCCCAGCTCAAACGCTGTTCAACGTGTTCCAAGATGGACACCCTATTGAGGAGTACGTCGCCAGTTTCCTGGAACTCTCTGCTGGGGTAAGCTGGTCAGATGATGTCTTAAAAACTGTCTTTTGGCTGGGTTTGGATAATCATCTGTACCAGCAAGCCCCAGCAGCTGCGTTTCCAGGAACCCTCTCCTGGTACCTGGACCATGTGTTGTGGTTGAGTGGGTCAGCCTTCACCGTTGGTGAGGCTGAAGATAACAGCACCACTCAACCACACACACACACCATCTTCACCCCACCAGCTCTCAACGCCTTCCTGGTTCCGTCCAGCCCCGTCCAGCCAGAGCCCGAGACCGTCCAGCCAGAGCCAGAGCCCGAGACCGTCCAGCCAGAGCCAGAGCCCGAGACCGTCCAGCCAGAGCCCGAGACCGTCCAGCCAGAGCCAGAGCCCGAGACCGTCCAGCCAGAGCCAGAGCCCGAGACGGTCCAGCCAGAGCCAGAGCCCGAGACGGTCCAGCCAGAGCCAGAGCCCGAGACGGTCCAGCCAGAGCCAGAGCCCGAGACGGTCCAGCCAGAGCCAGAGCCCGAGACCGTCCAGCCAGAGCCAGAGCCCGAGACCGTCCAGCCAGAGCCAGAGCCCGAGACCGTCCAGCCAGAGCCAGAGCCCGAGACCGTCCAGCCAGAGCCCGAGACCGTCCAGCCAGAGCCAGAGCCCGAGACCGTCCAGCCAGAGCCAGAGCCCGAGACCGTCCAGCCAGAGCCAGAGCCCGAGACCGTCCAGCCTGAGCCAGAGCCCGAGACCGTCCAGCCAGAGCCAGAGCCCGAGACCGTCCAGCCAGAGCCAGAGCCCGAGACCGTCCAGCCAGAGCCAGAGCCCGAGACCGTCCAGCCAGAGCCAGAGCCCGAGACCGTCCAGCCAGAGCCAGAGCCCGAGACCGTCCAGCCAGAGCCAGAGCCCGAGACCGTCCAGCCAGAGCCCGAGACCAGGATCCCACCCAGCCTCCCTCTCCCGCCTCCTCTCATCTGTCCTCCCTCTGCTCTCCTGCCCTCCAGCTCCCCTGACCCAGCCTGGTCCTTGGATCCCCGGTCTTCGCTTCACACCTCCTCCTCTGAGACACTTCCTCGGCCCTCTGTCCCATCAGCTCCCCCGTGGCTCCTACCTCCCTCAGCTCCTCCATGGCCCCTCAGTCCACCAGCTCGACCAGGCTCCCTCGACCCTCCGGACTCCCTTCGTTCCCTCGTCATCCTCCCTTCACCTTTGGACTTCCTTCCCTTTGCTCCGCACCGTCAGGTCACCCCCCCGGTTCTGTCGGACTTCTCACTCCCTCCAGTCACCCGTCAGCCCTCACTCCCTCTGGCCTCACCGTGTCCCTCTGTGCCCCTGTCGTCACTTCTGTCACCTGAGCCTGCGGTGTCCCCTTGCTCCCTCGGTCCCTCCTCAGCACCCATCGTCGTCTGTCCCTCAGCTACACCCTGGTCTCCTCTCCCATCCGCTCCACCCCTGTCAGTCGGCCCCCTGGTGTTGTCAGCCCCACTACCATCGGCTCCACCAGGGGTCCTCCCTCCAGCTGCTCCGCCCTGGTCTCGCCCTCATCATGCTCCGCCCTGGTCTCGCCCTCAGCCTGCTCCGCCCTGGTCTCGCCCTCAGCCTGCTCCGCCCTGGCCACGCCCTCAGCCTGCTCTGCCCTGGGGAAGCCCTCAGCCTGCTCCACCCTGGGGACGCCCTCAGCCTGCTCCGCCCTGGCCACGCCCTCAGTCTGCTCCGCCCTGGCCTCGTCCTCATCCTGCTCCGCCCTGGGGGGCTGTCTCCTCCTGACGACGCCCTCCACAGCCTCCAGGGTGCCCCCCCCCTCCCCATTGATGTTATGGCGTGAGGCCACGCCTTCCGGGAGGGGGGAGTAATGTCACAGTCTGTCGTCCTCACCTGTTTGGTCCCGTCATCTGCACCACACTTCCCCGGATCCTTTTGTTCCTCTCCCGGACTCACTTCCCCAATCAGCCACCTGTTCCTCGTCCTGTCATGATCATTTTCACCTGTGTTCACCCCAATCAACCCTGATTCCTCTGTGTATTTAGTTTCCTCTGTTTCATTC